TAGGGCAATGCTCCCAAATGATCAGACAGGAAACAGGAAGTGTTGTGTATAAAGTGAACATTGGATGTGGGAAAAGGAAACTGGGCAACAAGAAAGCTACCATGTTATCAGCACAGCTGTCTGTATATTAAAGTGTGTGTGAGAGGGAGAGAGAGATACAGAGTTATTGTGATGGTTTTCATTCCTGTTAATTAAATTATCATGCAACACTATTTGACTAAAAAGGCTTATCCATTCTATTAATTCTATTAATTTTTGCATCTTAAACATACACTCACAGGGGAAGCAATGCTGGACCAAAAGTGGCTGGCTGTCACACTTGTCTCCAAATTGCATTTTGTTTTTTTGTTTTTTACCTTGATTGCTATTGTTCAGTGCCTCTACCCTGCTTTAATGGTCACTTTCAAGTGCTCTTAAGAGTGTGCCGTCAGACACACTTCTGATAACACCCCTACATATGACAGCCACTCAGAGGGTCGTGCATTGTTTAAAAATCCATCTAGACTCTGGTCTTATACTTGTTAGAGTATATCTTTCATCTCACTTGTGTCTTTTCTTTCCCCGTTCAGTTCCAGAAACAAGGAAAAGATGTGGAGAAGGTTAAGCAAAGGCTAGCAGAGATTGCCAATTACGTGGACAAGGTATTAAATGCCATTTTTCGCCAGAATGAATGGGAACACTTGATTAGAAGTTTAAAATAGAGGCCTGGTTGTCAGAGATGAATGTAGGACTGCTGAGGTAAAGGACAAGATTTTAAATAAACCACCTTTTGAACGAAAGCTAAGTATTTTTAGGTTAGGTTAAATTGACTGATGTCCAGACAGACATAGATGGATGGATGTGCTGCTGTGTCAATAGATGTAAAGCTCATTAAGAAATAGTTTGGAGGGGTTTGATATTATGTGTTCTCTCAGTTTTACAGAGTGCTGAACATTCGTGTAGCTCTGGTGGGACTGGAGGTGTGGAGTGATGTCGATAAGTGTGCAGTCACCCAAGACCCCTTCACAACCCTGCATGAGTTTTTAGACTGGAGAAAACTTAAACTGCTGCCGCAGCGGCCACATGATAACGCCCAGCTTATTAGGTTCAAACATAGCCATATTACACACATTATCGCATATACACACTTTTGGCACGTGTGTCAGATTCTTTAACAAACTGTACTCTAACAGCACAGAATAAACTAATGCTAACTCAGGAGAATGCACATCTTGGGGGCCATTCACACAGAATGTGTTTTTGCAGTTAAACACACTAGATGCAGGGCAGTGGAACAGGAAAAAATGCAAGGCCTAGAGACACGTGTTTTAAAAGTTTAACTTCTTTTAACTTGAGCTATACGAGACACTGCAAAAGATGCAGACGTGAGTGCAATGGTCAAACACATCAGTCTAGCACGTTTACATTAAAAATAATTGAAAAGCAGCACAGTGGAATGTAAAAATGCATTCTGTGTGAACGGAATTGAATACTAACATATTGCTTCCCATATTCTGTGCTGTATATACTATTAGAAAGATTTCTGTTTTAAATAAATGCTGTTCTTTTGAACTTTCCATTCATCAAAGAGTCTTGAAAAAAAGATATTTTGTTTCCACAAAAATATTAATCAGCACAACCATTTTCAATATAAATAATACTAAGAAATGAGAATATAGTGAAGGATCATGTGACACTGAAGACTTGAGTAATTCAGCTTTGCCATAACTACATTTTAATAATAAATTACATTTTAAAATATTTTCAGTTAGAAAACAATTATTTTAAATTTTAATATTATTTCACAACATTACTGTTTTACTGTATTTTTGATCATGCAGCCTTGGTGAGCATAAGAGACTTCTATCAAAAACATTTAAAAAATCCTACTGATCCTATACTTTTGAACACTATAGCATACTGAATGCTTTCTAAAAAATTAATCCATTATGTAACAATAAACATTTGATATAGTATGCTGCATTATTGATACAAGACCTCTAGGTAGCATGTTTAATTCAGCCGGTGCTGTAGCATGGTAGAATGTTATTCTGAACATGTATTAATCTTAGTTTTATTACTTGGCTGTGCAAGTTTTGTACCGTATATTTAACCTCACTTTTATTCTTTTATGGCAGTGGGGTGTACTTCCAGGGCACCACAATAGGCATGGC